AAAACTGCCGATGCCTCTTCCTAATGTGGTCCTGTATACCAAATAACAGCATTGTATCTTATTGTGGAGCTTAGTAATGCAATTTATTTGTTTTTGATTAATGTCGTTTTGTGTGCGTGGCAGTGGTCCGATTACGCCCATCTGCAATACCAACCGCCTTATGGTACCAAGTAACATGTGTATCAAGTTTCATAAAGATATCTCAATTTTTACTCAAGTTTCAGCTTGCACAGACGGACGGACAGGCAGTCACTCGGATTTCAACTCGTCTCTTCATCCTGACCATTTATAGGTATATAGGTATAATATATAACCCTATATCTAACTCGATTAGTTTTAGGTGATACAAACAACCGTTAGGTGAACAAAACTATTATACTCTGTAGCAACAAGTTGCGAGAGTATAAAAAACGTTAACTTTGGTTTCACCGAAGCTATAATAGCACCTTTACAAATCCATACAGTATTTGATTATAATCGATCAGTTTTAATGGCATCCAAACATCCATTATTCGATGAAATCGTGATAGGGAGATATGTACATTAAACCTTTTACAGGGTGGGGTTACACATATTTTTTCAAAATTCTTAGTCCACAGGTGCCCCTTATTACTACGACCCCTGTGTCAAATTACAGTTCTATGTCTAAATTTATTGCTTAGTTATGGCCATTTATAGGTTTTCGTTTAATGGCGTTTTGTGGGCGTGGCTGTGGACCGATTACGCCCATCTACGAACTTGTCCTTACTTTTTTGCCAAGGAACACGTGTATGAAGTTTCATAACGATATATTATAATATTGCAATTTGCATGAACCAAAGGTACGTTGATCGATATATTCTGTACGAAAAGCATTATTTCTATTTGTTACAGTTCACCTAAAAAGAGAAATAATCTCATGGAAATTAAAATAGGGATATCAAGATAATAATATGCATCAAATTTGGTGCAATGCCAGATGGGATTTCATCTAAAAGTGGGCAATGTCATTTTTTGCAACCACTCACATAAAGCCCTTTGTACCATCGTTACTATAAAATGTTATGCCTCTGACGATTTCTTTAGCAAGTTAACGGACTTTTAGTAGTTCTCGAAATAACTTTTGTACTTGTCCTCGTCGTAGTATTATCCGAATTCATACGGTGATATACATACATACGTACATTAAACTTGATAGGGGCGAGACCACACCTCACTGTGATTCCGCACCAAATTTTTATACTCTCGCAATCTGTTGCTACAGAGTAAAATAGTTTTGTACACCTAACGGTTGTTTGTATCACCTAAAACTAATCGATTTAGATATAGGGTTATATATATATAAATGATCAGGATGAAGAGACGAGTTGAAATCCGGGTGACTGTCTGTCCGTCCGTCCGTGCAAGCTCTAACTTGAGTAAAAATTGAGATATCTTTAAGAAACTTGGTAGACATGTTACCGGTACCGTGAGACGGTTGGTATTGCAGATGGGCGTAATCGGACCACTGCCACGCCCACAAAACGCCATTAATCAAAAAAAAATAAATTGCCATAACTAAGCTCCGCAATAAGATACAAGACTGTTATTTGGTACAAAGGATCACATTAGGGAGGGGCATCTGCAATTAACTTTTTTTTTAAAGTGGGCATGGTCCCGCCCCTAATAGGTTGTGCATATCTCCTAAACCGGTAATGCTATAATAACAAAATTCACTGGAAGCAAACGTTTTTAGAACCTCTATTGACGGTGTGAAAATGGGTGAAATCGAGTGACAAGCCCGCCCACTCCCCATATAACGGTACTGTTAAAAAATACTAAAAGCGCGATAAACCAAGCACTAAACAAGCCAGAGACATTAAATTTTATCTCTGGGTTGGTATGTGATGACTTTATGTTAACCTCGTTCAAAATTGGACAGTGGGCGTGGCACCGCCCACTTTTAGGTGATAACTCATTTCTTGGGATCTGCTTAACCGATTTCAACCAACTTCGGTGAATAACGTTCTTTTCATATTTCTATGTTATAGTGCGAAAATGGGCGAAATCGGGCTACAACCACGCCTATTTCCCATATAACACCATTTTCCATTCCATCTGATTCTTTCACTTTCCACTATGCATATCAAGCAACAACGATTATATCGGGGTAAAACTTTGCGTGAATAATATGTTTAAAGTATGCCACTTTGTGACCAAAAATTGTCTAAATCGAACCAAAACTGTTCAAGCCCCTACGTACTAAATATGTGAATAATCCACAAAGAAATCTCAAACGAGTATACCATATGACTTTGCGAGAGTATAAAATGTTCGGTTACATCCGAACTTAGCCCTTCCTTACTTGTTTTAGCTTATTTTTGACCTGGTTAGAGCGCTTTGCAGCATGTTGCGTATGAGTATAATAACATTTGACGTGTAAAATTAAAAAATATGCATAACAAAAATTTTATTTGTTCTAATAAATTACGAATCAGAAATGTTCAACTAATGAAAAGGTAAATTATTATAAATTCACTATAACATTGACATTCTTACGTTATATACATACATATATGACTATAGCTAGCTAATACTATAATATTTTAGCAAATATTATACTTTAATGCTAAATAAATAAAAAACCTGTAAGGTGCGACATATTCTCATAAGTAAAAAAAATTAAAGCTAAAACACAAAATAAATAAAAGGTAAAATATTAAGGTTTTTGAGATATATATATATGTATGTACACATACTTGTTTACTCAAAAGTAGTGGATATTAATTTGGCCATTAAAGTTTTTTATATGTATTCACCTTCTCCATTACACTTAGTCCAACATGTTAAAGGTCTTTTATTATTAAAAGCTTAAAGTCTTATGCTATTTTATTAATTAAGATTTATCAATTGGGAATTTTTTTAAATATATGCTCATATTTGCAGAAAATTTATGTTTTCTTGTATCAGCTACACCAATACCTTAGTTACATATTGTCGTTTTTACTTTTCTTCTCTCCAGTACAGTGTTAGGTAGTTTTGCTTAGATGTACTTGTATGAACATAAATCGATACAATTTCAACATATGTACTTATGTTCATAAGCAGTTGACGCTTCAAAAGATTATGCGTTCTGCAAATTAAAATCTCTTACACATGTACCTTTGAACACATGTAAGTATGTACTATGTATGTATATATATAAATATTTTCATATGAAAGTATGAAATGCCTTCCTTACATAATCAATGGGCGTGAAAATACCCATCCTCCCTAAAACTAGAATTAGTAGAAGGTTTCGAGGTTAAAAATTATCCGTTGTGCTATTGCTTGCTCTCCTACATTCTGGTAAATACACCTGCTGCTGTTGCACCTTTAAGGTTTTCCCGACCCGTTGCAACCACTGTGATAAAATATTTTTATCTGATACGTTCAAACGGAGATTTTTTGACAAGAAATAGGCGGAGCTGCGCAAAACATTTACACTCAGCTGAGCGCTCGTTGGATATCCGTCTATGCAATGTAATCGTCTTTACCGGTTTATGGACGGCAATTTAAAACGCCCACTTTTCTACTACAACAACCAAAAGCTTGAAATGTCAAACCAACACCTAGAAACAACGGGAAACCACCACCAATGCCAAAAAATAAAATATATTCTTACACCACTACCACGAAAGTAGTGACAACAATCAAAGCACGTGAGAAGCCCTTACAGTTGGACGAGAACTCGATTAGTGATTGAGCTTACTCTTAGAAAACTCTCTGTATGAAGTGCCGCTATAAGCGCTATTATAAAAAGCATACAAGGCACAGTGTGCATAATATTTGAAAACTTGATGTAAAATACACTATGCTGCGTTATTACGAATTCAATTCCATATGCGGTCTTCAGCACTCCGTAAAAAACTTCTCAGAATCGTGTATGCTTCTGCCATATCATCTATGCGGGGGATAAAACTTAGATTGGTATTTATATATGTACATATGTATGTATCTTATTCGAAGTATTTAACAGGTTTGCCGACATTACTTAACGGTAAATAACATTATTTTCACGAATTTAAAAAAAAAAAAGTTCAATTATGGTCCAGTTAAAAACTGAAACCTTAGCTGTCTTCGATTCACCAAGCGTTACACCCCAGCGAATCGAACAAACTATTATATATCAGATGCTCAAACAAACGGGCAGCATTTGTAGTGCAACCCTGAATTAACATGGCTTCTGCCGCATGCGCAATAGTGTAGTAGTAATTTTTTCTTAGTGACGAAATTTTGTTTATCGCGCTAAAAACAATGCAGAAACCCTTTATTTTTGTTTTATATAAATAACTATAACTAATTTTACGTCTTAAGTTTTAAAATTATATGGAAAAAAAAAGTTTATATTTTCATTTGTCATTCACAATAGTAAAACTGATCTAAAATATGCAAAATAAAGCTGGTAGCATTGAAGAAAGCGGCTATACCACTTTAACGAGATATCCGCATACTCTCTTGTAAGAATTTCACTCGATAAATTTGTTGTTGCTATTCCGTTATCTACTCCATCTTCATTTTTTATGCACATACGTATAAGTTTCACCGCAGGACTATGTACTATGTGCAATAAATTTGTTTATTTCTAAGTGATATAAGATTAATTCGAGTTTATCATCCGGTTTGAGGTTGTTAAAAGTTTTAAAATCAATTTTGTATAAATATATAATATTATTTTAAAATTAAGAGAAACATGTTAACCATTCAGCGTTGCGCTAATAAATCTTAAATCTTGCTCTTACCATAGTAACGCTCACATGAAGATATAGCATATACATATACAATACAATGCAACAATGTAGCAGAACAGTTTAATAATTTGATATTTTCGCAACAATTAAATCGCCATAAACAGTGTAGTTGTGTTGGTTGTTAAATACTACAGACCGCAATATTTGTCCCACTGTATTGCTGCTTTTCAGGAGCCAAGACTTTCGAGCGACATTACGAGAACACTAGGTAACACAAATACTGCCCTCAGATACTCCCGTTGTATTCACATAACGGGACTCCATCATAGGGTGTTTTTGTTTTACAATTCGAATGTGGATACATGGATGCATACTCACACCCATTCAAGCATCATTCGGTAGTGTACAGTGCGCAGTTGTACTTACTTGCGCTAAATATGGGTGGTGGTTTTTATGTACGCAGTATTAGTATTAACAGTAAGCTCCAGTACTACCGGTAAATTGCAGCATCGGAATTGTTGGAGAAGCATTCCAGTATGACGCGCGTTGCCGTTCACAACGAGGTGACGCGACAAAGCACGACTTCCGACGATCCGCACACGGTGTAACGGTCTACTTTTCGCTGCCGGGAATATATACCTGTACATAAAACTTAGCTCGACCATTCCGTAACTACCGCGACGTACTCCCTTCATAATATTTAGTGATTATCAGCACATTATTGAATCTGGTTGTCGCATTGTCGGTTGGACGAATTTACTAACTCTAAGGGCGAAAAGTGCTGCTTTTGCAATAAAAAGATATGTGCATACAAAATAATAATAGATTATGCAGTAGATAACATGTTGTTATTCTAATTAGTGATTTCATTAACATAGACTGCAAGATTTTTAATAATTCTGTAAAATAGGTAAAATAATTAATATGTATTCTAAATAATATATAGTGCGAATTTGTGTATTAATAATAATTTCATTATATACTACATAACATAACATTATACATACAAACACGATTTTTGACAAACCTCATTGTATCAAATACAAAAGAAAAAAAAACAACGTGTGTTTTGGTTAATACAAAAATAATCTTCGAATAGTGTGTGTGAAGAAAAACTAACTCTAAATGAGAATGGAAGACCCAAACCTCGCCGAACAGTATGTGCAGGAATTCGTGCTCGATCACCTCGAGGACGGTTCAGCAACTGTTACAGCTATCGGAGTGAAACGTGAAGATCACAGTCCAGTGGCAGCCCCAAAACTTGCTTGGACAACTACAACAATCACTCCTGAAGAAGAGGATACAGCTAATCCACCCGCTATCAAGATGCGATCTTTTCCACAAAGCTGGCATATAGACGATCGCCGATTACAACCACTATCTCCACCACCGGAAATCTATACGCACGGACCTATGGCAGGGCAGGCCATCCTTGTGAACACATCGGTGCCTGGTGGAGTGCCATCGACACCGCCTGAAACCCCACCTGTTATTAGCTCCCCTAATGGAAGTACTTGTGCCCAAACGTATGCAACAATTACAAGTGCTCCGTATCCAACACATCGTCCCCCCACCGTCAACGCTGGTCTTACTCAAGAAATGATGTGGCTACCTAATTCCATGCGTTCAGATCCTCAGCCATTGGACTTACGTCCGCTCGCTTGTCCCACTCATGAGGAAGAGTGGGAGCGACAACGTGAATACATGCATGCCTCAGCAGCTGTTGCCGCCGCCAATCATCATCACGGACACTTGGTGGCACAATCCCAACACCACTCCCATCATCATCATTTTCAATCACTAGAGCACTTAGCACCCATCAATATGCATACGTCTTACCATAGTGGAATACCCAACGGCACTACAAGTCTTGGCAGTGGTGGCAATGGCAGTCAGGCGCCATCTAACGCACCAATTACCACTTCAGTGGTTCACCTCAATCGACCAATGTCAGTTTGCTCAACTCGATCATCCACAAATTCACCGCGCACCTGCTCCAGACAATATAGTACTTCCAGTAATTTAGGTCTTGATGACTGTATCAGTGATGATTTGCTAACGACTTTGAGCGTACGTGAATTAAATAAACGCTTGCATGGATGCCCCCGTGAAGAAGTGGTGCGGCTCAAGGCTAAACGTCGGACGCTGAAAAATCGTGGCTACGCGCAAAGCTGTCGCTCAAAACGACTACAACAACGACATGAGTTAGAGAAAACCAATCGTCAGTTACATCAAGATCTGCATCGTTTGAAATTAGAATTTTCGCGTGTATGTCAAGAACGCGATCATTTAAAACAACGTCTGCAAATACGAACGAGCGGAAGTAGTGGTGGTGTAATTGCTGCTCTAACGAATGCTACCGATGGCAGTACACCAGGTGTGATCACCGTGGGTCAACCGAATTGTAACGCAGATGGTCAAAATTCGCCGGAGTTCTATCTCTGACGCCAACTAGCTATTAGTGGACAACATGCGGCAGCTGCCACTGCAGCGGCCGCAGCATCCAGCCACCATCCGCCACATACGCAACCTTTACATCCGCACTCACATCAATGGTCATCACGCTACCATCAGCATGTGCACCAACCACCAGCAAGCACTGTAGAAATCTGAATGCGATGTCTAGAATATTACTAATATCTAATAATTAGTCCACACCGTATTTAATGTAAAGCATTAAAATAGTAAATATTACTTAAAACTATTCTGTGACTTTAATCGACAAAAAAATCAATGTTTGTAAGTAAAATGAACACAAATGGTTATTTGATAGGTCGCTCCGACTGCACCTAATAACAAATATGCATATCCCAAAAACCATTTTCAAATATACTAAACTTAATATTTTTTAATCGGATCAGTTCCTTAGTTCGAAGTGCAAACAATATCTTCTGGCTTAAGTTAAGCAGAAAGTGGTCGTAAAATTATGACTTTTGTTTTTCACGCCATTAAGATTATTATATTAAGAGCTCTTAGATAAATTCATTCATAAACGTTTGACAATAAAATAATAAGTGTTGTGTTAAATTCGTAGTTATGGTATTCCATATGTACGTAAATATGTACGCATAGGATAATTGGTAAATCACTAGGAGTGAATAATAATATATAGTAAACAATTATGCATGTGCTCCAGCTTATTTTTAAAGCTCTGCACCATATTTGGCAATTATCAAATTAATGTATCTATATATTAATTGAGTTTAAGACTTTAAAATGGCTATTGAAAATTATGTTTCAATATGAGTAAGCATGTACATACATATATATATATATTGTGATCATTTATTTTGCTATTTTATTTTTTTTATATGTGTTTAAAAAAACACTTTGTGTAAAGTATAATAACGAATAAAAATAAGTGGTGTTAATTTAAAAATTGGAATTTTTTAATTTTAAAATTCTCTGAGCAATACTAAACATGAAATTAAAAATTGATGAAATTAATAATTGAAAGGATTGGTTTACAGTGATAATCCCTCTCCTCTACCTCTCCTTCTGAACAATATATTTTAATATACTTGTAACGTGGTGAAACTCGATCCAACACAAAAATATGTAGTTGATGCTAACTAACAGGTAGAGAAGTCCAAGCGAGATATATATTGTTTCATTTTTATTTTACATTATAATTTATCTTATACTTAAAAATACATCTTGAAGACGTGAAACTTCGTCTGTGAATTATTCCATTATTTAATTAATTTTGAAAAATTCTTTCATATAACGTCAATCATTTTGAAACGAAATTTCAAAACAAACAAATGAAACGGAATTGCAATTTAAAATTAACTCAGAATTCAAATTGTAGGAAATTTTTTTATATATTGACCTTAAATTAAATAATTAAATGGAGAGACAAACGTTGTTCTCAAACTGAATAAGTTTTTTATAAATGCTATCCTACCTTATTACGATGTTAAAAACTAACTCTTTAAATACACTTGGTGAAAAATCTTTATAATTACCTCTAGGTATCGCCTATTCCCATTGGGCTTAATTTTTGGAAATTGGGATTCCAAAACGTCACTATTGCCATTGCAAAACAAAAGGTCTACAAGTTAAATTTTAATATTATATATAATTTGTAATTATAGATGTATTACTTTGAGATAAATTTTGTATTAGTATAACTGTTTGATTTCATTATAGTAATTTAAACTAAAATGTTTCAAATAGAGAACTATTTGCAAAGAGTACAAGTATATTTTTTTTCAAAATCGTATTATACATATGATAACATTAAGTCTTACAAATATTTACATGTATAATTATTGTTACATTGTTTTTTGAATCAAACACGCGCTTGGTTGATAAGTTAAACATTTGTATGTGTACAGCCATGAATACAAATAAATAGGTATATAGATTATTTTATGTACATGAGTAAACATTTTGCATGTAAAGTCAAATGATTGTTTTTTCGCAGATAAAAAAGATTGTACGTTCTGCCTTATTTAATTATACAGCAGTGCATTTACTTATTTATTTTTGCATATGTATAACTGAGATGAATTTTTTTTGTGAAATTTTATATATATTTATTATATTATATTATATTATATATTTATATGTTTTATATATGTTTATTACAATACATCAGGGGTTTCTTGTTATAAATTCGTAATTTTAAATTGTATGCGAGTATTTTTTAAGGAAGAACACTGTTACCCCAATTACTATCACTTCCATTTTCCTGCATCGCAACTTTCGAAATAGCTTAATCTGATGTTCTATATCGATCATAAAATGCTCTGGAGAGTTTAAATCCCTTTAGTGGAATACTTTTAGTAGGGTTCTTATAGCAAGATGTACTGTTCCACCAAATGTCTGGTTATTTACAAACTTAAAACCGATCGCAGAGCCTTCATATACCTAAGTTCTCTATTAAATACAGGAAGTAACAAGTTTGTCTACTCGGACTACTATTGTAGTATTGCAAGAATAGTTATTTAACTTATTAGATTGCTTAAGTTTTGATTTTAAATCTTTAGTTTGAAAATATTGATACTTCTCCTACGTTCTGTTTTATACTTGTAATGTTGGGCCGGCTTCCAAGTGATTAAGCCAATTTACTGCCCGGCTTATTTGTTTTACATAAGAGATGAGATTTGATTCATTTACTATATTACTTTGATATTTTGCCATTTTTTAATTATTTTCTACCGGAAATTGTTCACCCTCTTCATCTTTGCAAACGACACGAATGTTTCAAAGAATTTAGGAAAATTTTTCTTAATGCTGTTACAGCGGTAAACAAATAGCACTAGATCGAAAGCTACCTTTAGACGTGTAATGATTTCGGAAAGCGTAATATGGATTCTGTCTGCTAGTTTAACGGTTGTTCCTTAATGGACTTTAAGCTGTCGTATTAATTAATTTATTGCCAATTATGGCTATAGCGAGATGTTTTAGGATTATACATAGGATATTTATATCACCTATATGAAAATTACATATTTTACTACTGAGTTTTTGAGTTTTATCATCTAGTGTTTGTTGAAATAGAGAGAGTACGTTTTATGTCTAAACAAGAGACCACTGATTATAGACCTAAAATACAGTGCATGTAAACAAACTCATAATTTCTTAGTTTCCATGCATTCTAGTTTATTTACCACCCAGTGTGTGGCTAACAACATAAATAAAACTTATATTCTCAGAATGACAAAAAATCGTCGACTCAAAAATACGTTGTTAATATAATAATATGTTTCTACCCTGATTTAGAAAATAGAGTACAAACACTCATTAATAAAAGTCTGTATTATTCTGACTAAGTAACTATTGGCACATCGAAATAGAATGGTATTAATATGTCGTTACTATTTTCGAATTTAAAGTTTTTCAAGGAATTTAACCGTACTACCCTTAAAGCTCTTATATGCATTTCATAGTTTTTGAAACCACTCTTTTTTCTTGTATTAGCTCTTAAGTTAAATTCATTATCATATACATTTCGAATGCGAAAGACGTTAAGGTGCAAGAATCGTTTTTCTTATTTCAATAATAAAGCATTATAGACGGTTCAGATCTTTGTTAATGGCTTATGAAACGTGTTTGGTCCAGCTTAACATTGTTGTAATGGTTATATTCATACATAAAATTTCAACTTCTTATGCGCTTGCAAAATGATGCTACAGAGTATGATAGTTTTGTTCATCTATTTTGTTCATGTATCAGTCAAAACTAATCGCGTTGGATATAGGGTTATATACTTGTATATATAAATGATCAGGATGAAGAGACGAGTTGAAATCCGGGTGACTGTCTGTCCGTCCGTCCGTCCGCATGTGCATGCTGTAACTTGAGTAAAAATTTAGATATCGTAATGAAACTTAGTACACATGTTTCTTGGCACCGGTATTGTAGATGGGCGTAATCGGATCACTGCCACGCCCACAAAACCCCATTAATCGAAAACCAATAGGTTGCCATAACTAAGCTCCACAATAAGATACAAGACTGTTATTTGGTATAACAAATCGCTAATACTTTAACGAAATTCACTCAGCGCAAATCTTTTTAGTGCCCTACCGACAGGGTGAAAATGGGTGAATTCGGGTGAACTCCCGCCCACTCTCCATAACGGTTTTGATAAAAACTACTAAAAGTGCGATAACTTATTTCATAAACAAGTCATAGACTTTAAATTTTACACATATGATAATACAATGAAGCTTTAAAGGAGCCAATGCAAACATTAGACAATGGGCGTGACACCGGCCACCTTTTGACCGATTTTAACAAAGCTTGGTAGGCAACATTACACAACTTAAATTTTAATGCCATCTGATTTTTTTGACATACAAATCAAGCATTAATAAATATTGACATATAACTGTACAAAAGTTGACATATAACTGTACAAAAAGAGTGCATATGTCATCTGAAGTCTAAAAATTGTCAAAATCGAGAAATAAGTGTCGATGGTTGACTTTTTACCGAAATTATCATTCAATGTTTGAGATATATAATTGGAATTTGGAGAGAATCTTTTTTTGATAATACAGTACTTCTCTTAGCCCCACATACCTAATAGAAAGATTGGCTATAAAGGGTGATTCATTTGGGGGTTTCCTACTTTTTTAAAGAAAAAAACGCAGAAAACTCAAATTTATTGGGGAATGTTTATTATCATTGGAAAGAACATTCTTTGGCATTTATTTTTTTAGAATTATCTCTTTCAAATGTTGTCTGCGTCTACGTCTCAGAAGGTCTATCCATTGAGTCCAATTTTCAACGATTCATTCGAGCATTTCGACTGGTAAGGCAAGGCCTCAATCAAAGTGGGATTATTCGCAAAGATTTACACTTAACATATACACAGGAAAAAGTCTAACGATGTGATATGACACGATCTTGGTGGCCAATCTCTCTCAATAAATCCTTTGATTGATGTGATGTGTCTGAAGTGTCGCCATCTTGTTCAAACCACATGTCACTGAAATCACGAGGTTGAATTTCAGGCATCAGTAGTCGGTTATCATGACGCGATAACGGTCGCCATTGACGGTTACGGCCGGCATAATTTTTAAAGAAATATGGACCGATGATTCCACCGACCCACAACCCACACCAAACCTTGCTTTTTTCTGGGTGAAATGGCAGCTCTTGAATCTCTTCAGGTTGTTCTTCGTCCCAACTACGACAATTTTGCTTGTTTACATACAAATTGAGCCAGAAATTGGCCCCATCGCTGACCCAAATTTGGCTCGAAAACGTCGGATCTTCTTTGAACTTTTCAGGAGCCCATAGAGCAAAGCGATGTCATTTGGGAAGGTCGAGCAACTTCAGTTCTTGCACAAGGTATATTTTGTATGATTTCAATTTAAGATATCGATGCAAAATGCGTCAAATCGTTCCATACGTCAGTCCGAGTTGCTGGGAACGGCGCCGAATCGACTCTCCTCGGTCTTCGTGTACACTCTCAGCTACAGCCGCTATATTTTCTTCTCTGCGTGCTGGACGTGGCCTATTCGGTCGAATATTATCCAATAATAAATGCTGGGTCTCAAGATGGGTGACAGTGTTGGGAATAGTACGCTTAGTAGGCCGATTATGTTGGCCATAAATTGAGCGAAGCGCTCGAATTCGTGAATTATTGTAATAAAGTTGAACATTTTGTAAACTTTGTTCAGATGTAAGTTTTTCCGTGATAAAATGCCAAACAAAACTGAATAAAAATAACATGACAGCTTGACACGACTAATGCGTGATCTGTCAAGGAAAGGCTATTAAAAAAGTACCGCTACTTAGAACACCCGTTACAATACTCTAACGCCGAAACAATGTGAATTTTTCATATACTACATACGTACATAAAATGATTTTGTTTTGTTTTTTCAAACCTTATGCCGAAATCGGTCAGTGTGTGAGTTATTTATTTATAAAATTTATTGAAATTATGTTCTCGAGTATACATTAACAATTTCAAAGGTTAATGCAACAAGCTTTCTCTGACCCCAATATTCCCTGTAGAGTGATTTCTTTTCAACTGACTTAAACCATTTAGGTGAGTCAAAATGTTTTATATTTATTAATTGGACAAGTTTTCTTAAAAATTATAAAATTATATTAATGATTTAGCGCTGAGTTTGTCAGAATTTGGTGGAAACCTTGGTATAAACCTCATATTACTAATATAATGAATTTCCATCCTCTGATTTACGTTTTCCACATTATCTCAATATATTAAATTTAGCCTCTTGGTTGAGTTTATATTACATATATCCTATTTGAAGACAATTTTCGCTGACGGAAAGTAAAATACAGTTACAAAACTAAGTGAGACTATGACCTATAACATAACTTATTAAAAATACCAAATTTTATTGAAATCCATTTAAGATTTATTCGAATAATTAATGCTGACTTCTTTCTCAAGATTTTTTTTTTAATTAAAATTTTGCCACATCTGAAGGTATTTCCCCTGCTTTCAGCCTTGCAAGTTGCAGGAGTATTAAATATTCGCTTACACCCGAACTTTTTTTTCCTTTAAATTATCCTACTTTTCATGTCAAGCCAAGATGTATAACACACGGGATCTTGTCAACTTACTTCCCAATCATTTATTATTCGAAAAGTTCGTGAACGTAAACGATCTGTGTTTCACATAGTATATATTTTGATTGCTGCCGAAAATTTTAATTTTAAATAACTATATCATCCTTTAATTATTTTAGTAATTCAATACCTTTGAATATTTGTTAATAACTGGTCCATGTACAACTGATGCTTGATTTTATAATGCCTCAACCACAAATTCCTAAAAGTATTAATATAATAGTATGTATCATATGTGGAAATGTATTGATTACATTTTCAAGGTTGTAGTAAGTTAATTGTGTCAGATATTTATTTTATACATTGTATGTGTCTAGGTATGATAGTTTTTTAACCTACAACATTAAAAAGAATTGTAAATATTATATTTAAGAGCGTTTGAGATGATGTTAAATTTACTTAATAAAGAAAGTAATTAAACGTTTGCAGAGTTATCAGTATAAGAACAGAAAAAACTAATTTATTTTAATTAATTCAGGTATAAATTATATATACTTTTGTAAATACTTTATAGTCGAATTTTAAAATGTCATTATATAAAATACAGGTTACTGATTATTTATCCATAAATACTAGACATATCTCTTAAAGCAATGCCCTTAGATACCACATTTCATAATCATGAATGAGGAATTGTTTTTAGTAAAAAAATATGTTAAGTTTTGATGACACAAAGCGTTAGATATTTATATAAGTGGCGTCCAAACTTCAGTATATGGAGTTGAAGCAGAGCATTGGAATTTTAGAACGTTTCAAAACCAAAATTAACAATGATATTTCACGAAAATTGTTGTAGCAAAATGAGTGCAGAGAAGTAGTAAGCCTCTTCAACAGCTAGAAAGTTCGTGGTGACACTCTGGTGACAAATGCTGATAATTATCGAGCGAAATGCATGTGCGGTCAAGGTGATCACGGCCTGGTGAAATCGAGCATCGAGTCTTAAACTCATATTATGAGTTGGGTAGCACTGCCATTGTATAAAGACAAAGATTCAGGGGAAGACACTTTTCCTTTTGATGCTTTATCCGTTTTATTTTTTGCATTATAATTTAAGTCCACACCCAATCAAGTCCACAAATCACACTTGCCACATTTTCAATGATATATTTAATAATTAGATACAAAATTTCAGACAAACGACAACGGATTGAATTTGTTATGGACAAAATATTACTATAGATTTGTTAAGTCTCCCAAAGCTATATTCATTCATCGTATCATTTATTTAAATTAGTAGTTTGTTAAGTGTGTATTTTGTGAAATACAATACGACTGCAATCTTACCATCTCACTCAAACTTCAAACGAATAAAAAAACAAACAAAAAATATGTTAACTTTATATGAATATCTTTATATTTATTGAAGATATCTTGTCAAATTAAAAAGTTTTCCATACAAGCACTGGATTCCGATCGTTCAGTTTGTAAAGCAGCAATATGCTGTAGTGATCTTATCTGAATAATTTCTTCGGAAATTACACCATCGCCTTAGACTATAATCCACGCCAAAGTTATTGAAGATATCTCGTCAAATGAAAAAGCTTTCCATAGAAGCATTTGATTCCGTTCATTCAGTTTGTATGACAGCTATATGTTATAGTGGTCCGGTATCGGTAATTCGGACAAATGATCAGCTTCTTGGGGAGAAAAAGATGTGTGCATAATTTCAGATCTATTGTATATCTCATATATACTGAGGGACTACAAGTAGTTCGCGTATATACACACAGACATGGCTATCCACTCAGTTCGTCAGGTTGATCATTTATATAATGGCAATGAAGATTGCATTATCCAAGGGAAAAGTTTACCCATTCAAATTGTGATGGAGTTTTAAATATTAATAATTTTTGTGAATAATGCAATCCATATTAATATTATAAATGTGAATGTAAATTTGTTTTTTACGCTTTCACGTACTTAAACGAATATCATGAAAGTGTGTACATATATGTATTACTTTTGGTATTAGAAAGTACAAAGGATATTTATTATTAAAAAAATATATATTTCTAACGAATTGTGCAAAATTATTTCGGCAGATCATACCTGATGGTAAGCATAAATCAAACAAAATTGGCTATTTCTGGTTACCACCGGCACCATGAAGATGATAAAGTATGCGTACATGCTATGTATTTAGTTATTTGTTTTTATTAATAGTCTTTGATTTATGTTATGAAAGGGACTCAATGTGAGCGTAGCCCCAGGAAAAGCTGTTATTTAATAAAAAAATAAATAAAAATTAAGAGAAATGAGATATGGTTAGTAATTGTAGATTTCTTTTGTAGGAAAATGTATAAGTGTTGCTCGCATTGGCTCTAATAAACTGTTGTCCAAAATATTCAAAACTTCATTGTATACATTTGTACCTACAAATACAAATTTTACCATAGAATCAAGTTGATTGCATAGAAAACAAAACTGGGAAGCCTTTAAAGCTCTAAATTGCTCTACGTAATTAAGATCAACACTTACAATTCTTACTCATATTACAATTTATGTTAAATTCGCAAAGGTTGCATCTTTTCAAATCAACAAGAACAAATTAGTTCTTTTAGCATTATATGTTACATATTTACGTACATACATTCTGACAATGAAATATGTAAATTCGTACATTCCCTGTAGTGAAGCATCAAACTAGTTGGAAATATATATGTACTAGTCTGCAACCAGTTGCCGGCATTCCCGCAGTCCAACAATGTCGAATCAGTCAGAAAAATATCACATTTATACAATTATAAGGCGATATATTTAAAACTAATTTTATAGTGCCCATAATAGGACGTAATTTTGATTTGTCTATTTTGAACAAGTAAAAAATTAGACGGATTCTGACTGAAATCTACAAATTCAGCTCGAAAATAACAATTTTTACGCAACTGATAGGAAAGTTTTTACATATGTGTATATATACCATTATTAGTTTAATTTAGGCTAGTTTTTAGTAAATCAAAATAAAAAATGTGAACTTCGGTGGCACCAAAGCTATAAAGCCCGTCACAAATAAAAAAATCCATAAAAAAAGTTGGTTCGATCAGTTTGTATAGCAGCCATATGCTATAGTGGTCCGATCTGAACAATTTGGATTGCAGCATTGACTTAGAAAATAACCCATGTTGGGTGAAGATATCTTGTGAAATGAAATAGTTTTCCTTTCAAGAACTTGATTTTAATCATTCAGTTTGTATGGCAGCTATAGTGGTCCGATATCTGCGGTTCCGACAAATAGTTGCTTCTTGGGGAGAATAGGACGTTTGCAAAGTTTCAGATCGATATCTCAAAAACTGAAACTTAACTAGTTCGCGTATATGCAGACAGACGGCGACTCGACTCAGTTCGTGACGCTGATCCAACCACAACTGGTGAGGAAGATTTTTCTGCTTAAAATAATCTCAAATCTAAAAACGAAAAAATTGTATTATTACTGTAGATGAATATAGATAACGAACCACTAGTCACAATTTTTATTTTTGACAAAAGGGTGGCTTCCCAAAAGAAGTTTTTGTGAAAAAAATTACTCTTCAGAGAGTATTAAAAAATCGAAATTATTATCAAAAATATTATTCCTTCGATCATTACCTGTCAAATATATTTAAGAAGGTCGTGTGAAAAAAATTGATCGCTCCAACCGTTTCGAAGAAATTTTGCTTATCGACCGTGAAAAGAAAGTTTGGAGAAAAAAGCGTTTAAAGTTTAATAAAAACGTATGTAATCTTCCGTACTGTGCCTTCCTCCACGAAATCTGAGTGTTGTAGCTGAAATTTCGATTGATTTGCTTTGAATTATTATTGGTTTGTGAACGTGATAAGGGTTTAATAACGCCCTTATGCAATACCAACATTCTAAGAGTACCGAGTTTTCTCTGTACGAAACTTCAACAATATAGTAAGGATTTAATTTTTGACGCAAAATATCGTTTCCCGATATATGAAAAAATTACAATAATAAAATTATTAAAATATTATTATATCCTATGAAAAATGATGCTAGAGTATAAAAAATTATATATGTACATGTTTAAGAGTGTACGAGTATACCTAGAACGACTTTGCAATGCTTTGTAAAATGACACTTCCTGAACTACGGTCAGCTTAACATTCACACATGCATTTAAAATAAACATGCATTTTGTTATTTACACAAATATAAATGTATGAGTTCAGAAATATTCATAAATACCTTGTAGTGTAATGAACCACTTATGAACCACTTTACAACTAGTATTAACCCCAAGCCTAACCAGTCACCCGACTATATTTTATCACACAATTAAGTATAAGTTGCTCAATTTTGGCCCAATTTCATGTGACATCTTTATCTTGATTTTGATCGGTCAGTTTGTATGGCAGCTATATGTTAAAGTGGTAGTAGTTTTTAATCTGAACAATATGTTTGGAGATTGTAGCGTTGCCATAAAAAATGCCAAATTTCGTGAAGATAATTTAAAAAAAAAAATTAAATTAACTAAGCTCGACTCGCTTATCATTATTTTTATATATAAGTATACTTTTTTATAGGGTTTCCTTGGTGTCTTCGGAATGTTTTTGTTATTGACAACGAAAAAATATAGTAAATATTAAAAAACTCACCTTCTTGTAGTTTTTTTATTGAAATAATGCAATACGTATAATAAGAAACTATGTTCATTGAAGATTATATTTGTAGTTATAAAAGGTTTTTATATTGCTGATCTCTACAAACTACATGTGTAAGTATATGTATACATCATCAATGTATGTATATGTATATATACATACACTAGGCAGAAAAATTCTGCTTACAAGGTTCCAACAAAAATAAATAGTTGGAAAAAATAATGTTATATACTTTTTATAAAAACCAATATATTGGATGTTCATTAAAGGATATGAAATATGTAGTTTTATGAAAATGAAATTGATTAAATTTCCAACAATAACATATAAACAAAGCAAAACATGCCTACGAATAAAAAATCCATTAGAAAAAGTCTGCGTACCGGGTAGATAGGTCGAGCAAAGATATTGTTCCACCGAATGTTGTAGAGTAACCAAAGCTTAACTATGTCTATGCTGTATGCTTCGGGTCGTTATCCTGTAGAATAGTTAAATGTTAAGGTATGCATATTTGGCCACGATGGACACCATAACTTCCATTCGGACTTCACCATTACTAGCTATGCGCCCCCGTATCATTACTTCTTCACCACCGTGCTTCACAGTATGCATCAAGATTTCCGAATCGAGTGCCTGGCTCGTTTTTCGCCACCAAACCTTTCATTTTTATTCCAAAGACTCAAAACTTGTTTTCATCGGACCTTAACATTCTGCCAAAACTCCTGGGGTTTGTTTAAGTGCTCTTTCAAAAAGCATTAAGCACTGGTCTATTGACTGGCAATATGAATAACTTCCTGTGTGCGACTTGACCATTAAACCCTGTTTATTTTTAATTTTGCGAATCGTGTCAGTGCAGAGGGATTCCTTAAAGTTTTGAGCGATTTGATTGCAGTAAGTCGCTTCATATTTTCTGTCCCATGATTACGTGTTTTACGCAATGCTAGTATTTTTGGCCGCCCTGGACGGGCCGAGATATAAAAAATGCGGTATGTTTGTTATTTTTTATTATTCTTTTTATAGAAGAATGTGTTCTTCCAACAATTCGACCGATTTCACCGTTGTTTTTCCTTCTGCCAAAATTTCAATCATTATTTCCCTTTCAGAGGATTATTTCCCTTTCTTTTAGGCCATTTAAAATCGTTTAAAATTGCTAGTTTTACGACAACAAGTAATACTATACCTTTCCGACACTTTTAATCCTGGTTTTTACGCGAAGAATTCCCATTTTACTACTTGTACGCAAACTTTTTCTGCGCTGCAAAATGACAATTTTGTGTAAATTTATCGATAAAACTATGGTATCAGATTTTTACTGCTTTAAATTCTATAGGATTCTGCAGTGGACTAGTAATAAAGCACTTAATGAGATTTTATTATAAAATTTAGTATTTGAAAGATACTTTTTAACACAAGAAAATAAGACATAAGCGTGTACGCAAACTTTTTTTGCCGGGTGTATGTAGTTAGTTGCCTACCTCTACCCATAATTTTTTCAAAATAATAGAACCGAATTTCAAATTACTACTACAATTACCATTATCATGTTCATTATTTGGCCAATCTAAAGTAACAATATGGTTTTCTTGTTTCCATTGAGTACAGAGTTTGCTCCTATGTTTCCGATCATTATTTTCTTGCGGTATCCAATCATGTTTATTTTTGCCAAAAAGCATATCAGTTCATTCAAATTTTTTACAATTTACAATTTCAAAACCCCAAATCCATGAGCAGAGAGGCAT